ACCCTAAGATAATTTTGCCCGCCTGTCTTCTGATGACGAGATACTAACATGTACTTAGTTTTTTCTGAATTTACTTCCAGCCCCACTTGTCTACCAGCCTCTAGTAAAACTTCTGTGTTCCTCTTTATTGTATTTATATCGTCCCCCAATAAATTAACATCATCAGCATTTGCCAATAGCTGATGTGTCCCATTCAATTGCAAACCCTCCCGACTATCTTGGACCATCTATAACTTGTCCCTAAATACATTAAATAATAAATAAATTTCTTTTTCCTAATATATTACTCATATATTTTCCAAAACAAGAATAACTTATTTAAAAAGCAACTTGTTACTTATACGAAATGCATATTACTTACTATCATAATACGCGTGTATTTCATTATTCTGACATCCATTCAACAGGTTATTACTCGTGACGATGATTACGTAAACAGCTGAATACTATTGGTAAATTACTTTTGACGAAGAAAATGTAACTTCAAACAGTTTAAACTGCACCAGTTTGCTCTAAATGCATTGCACATTTCTATTATATAATCTAAGACAGACTACTCCAGTGCCAGATTAGTAAGTAACTGTGAACGGGCTAAACAATCTCGGACACCAAAGACCAGACTAGTATTACGTACGAACCATCCCACCAAGGCAACATAGAGCCAACCTCTCTGCATTTGGTTCCGTTCTTTTGAGTGCACAGCGTGATGCCTGGCACACAGGCAAAGTCACGCTACCTGACGCCAACTACTCAAACAGTTCCTGGAGCAGGCTACGTCTAAGTGAGCGTTTGTTACAAACAGTATTTAAATATAGTTTATTAAACGCTTTCAGCATCTCTGCGTCGAATATGACGATACTGAATTTAAGGTACTATCCCAGCCCCGACATTTGTCTGAAGGGACGGAGGAAACTCACGAAAAATCTTAACCGATGTTCGAGAAAGGATCTGAACCCGGGACCTAAATAATACGTAATGATAACGTGATTTTTTTTGGTAAAAGACAAGAAACACGTGATGATACGATAATGTATATGGGGAAACAAGAAATGCATACAAATTGATATGAAAATGTACAGGGAAAATGAGGATGCATCCAGAACACGCAATCTGGGATTCAAGTACTACGTCAGTAGCCCATTTGTTCATATTCAAACCCGTGAACAATCAAGAGTTGACCTTAACATGGCGGCGAGAAGACACTGACTCTGTCCCTGCCATCTAGTGCCAAGACCAAGAATGACTGGTTCAGTGAATGCAGTGAAATACACGCGCGTATCGAAGAAGGCGGAAGGATACAATCGTGGCATATTGCTGTCGGGCGAACCATTTTCGTGAACGGGCTCAGAAAACCATCCGCGATCTCAAAAAACGACTTTTCGCTCTGCCTCAGAATATCCCAATGTTACGACGGCTATTTCACGTTCCTCGTGTCTCGACGCTGTCTCAAATCCGCGTTCGTGACGACGTAAAATTTGCATGACTTCTATGAAGGGTTTCCAAGCCACAACATGAAGACCAGTTCTATGAAATATTCTTGGAAGTGGACTGAGTAATCATGTTTATTCGAGAACCAGATGGCAGGAAGGGGCCATTTCGATGCGAGTACGTACATAACAACCTCGCGGGTACAAATTAGTAAGTAGGAACCCACGTCAGTTATAAACACTCACTCGACACGCTTCGATACCGCCTTGAGAAGCTGACAGTCGCTTGGGTTGTCACAAAATTTCTCACCTTTTACAGAAGCCGAAACTTCATCGTTGTGTTCACAAGAGCCCGCTACTGGACCCTACTTTTATTTATTATTATTATTTAGTGTTCTGTCTGAGGACAGGTCCATATGAACAGGATCCTTCCATCCTTTTCTCGGACTGGGACCTGTTCATATACGTTCTTGGCAGATGATCCAGAAGTGGTTTGCCATTGCCTTCTTCTGTGTGTGAATGGAGTAATTGTTGGGATGCCACGGAGGAAAACTCCGTGTTTCCTAGACCACGGCCTTGCCCAACACAAGTTATAAATTCGGGCACGGCCGGGAATCCAACCCGAGACCCCAGGATTACAAGGCCAGCGTTCTAACCGCTAGACCACCGTGGCAATGGATCCTACTTACGCCAGATAAATCCAATCCACATCCTCACGCATTCAAAAGATATATAATTATCACTGTTACTAATTAATCCCAATTCTTGCCGTTGTTATCAAGACATCGACACGCGCAAATCCATCAGCTCAGAGAGAGAGAGAGAGAGAGAGAGAGAGAGATCTAGCCCTTTTTACACACGTCTGGTCGCCCTGTGACGAGGTTGGGCCTCATGATCTGATCCGGCGTCCAAGAAGCCTTATCGACTACCTCAAACCTAAATTATAAGAGCGCAAGACAACCTAAGATCAATTCCAATAAATATATAAATTAAACAGCATAATTTTTCGTCAAGCTTTAAATCTCACCTCAGTTCATTCTTCCAACACCGATAGTGATTTCATTACATTGCCGTCTAATGTCATACGTCAAAACGTCTATGATAGAACAATCGAGAACATTGTATCAAATCGCATTTGATAATATACGGATTACATGTTTTTAACATTCGCTGGTATTAATACGTCTCTACCTTCTTGTGGTATAAATTTTCATCCTGCCCTTTAAAAAACAAATTTACTTTCCGCTGAAGGAGTAGTTTAGGAGCCCCCACGCTCGCCCCAGCTGAATTCCTGGCCACTCATTTGTATACCCTAAATAAATTCAATTAAGAAATCAACAGGGGACAAACATGTCTCAGACGACATCCTTACACGACTTAACAGTTTGGTTGCGTACGCAGCAATCAGACCTCTAGTTACGATGTTGCAAAAAATACCTGATTGATTACAAATTCTGTACCTCAACAGCGGAGTTGACACTAAATGTCACGAGACAGGGATATTTAGCCCATGAAAATTACCGAAAGATAAAATGAGGTTCTCCCACCCTAAATCTACAGCGATACAAACAGTTGCTACAAAATTGGTGCCAAATACTACGCCTCACTAACTTTCGAAATGATGTTCTGGGTTTTGGCGCCGTATAAATTCAGAACTGAAGACGGAGATATTATGAAACACTCGCCATCTACCAAAGAGTCCACACGACGCCCAGAACATCGCCATCCCCACCGCCGCGAAAATATTAATCAGTGGTTAGTGGAGGTAATTGAAACCTGTGAAAGAAGGGTGAGTCAAGGAACACTGACGCGAATGTGTACGTAAGATTTCGTACGCAGTCTTCGAAAATCCGTGCGGAGAGCCAACAGAATGCCGACCACAGGGGCATCTGACTTCGGGCTCACTACCGCACGCAGTACGACAGTTCTCTGACAAC